GAGATGTCTGCTTTATGTAAGAACACCAAAGTTTGGAGAACCAGCGTAAAGAATCAGCAAATCCCAATGTTGAGGACAAGTTGATAAAGTTCAAATCAAGCATAGGACAAAGGAAGAAAGATGACTTTGGTCCCTATAAATGTGATCTGATTGTTGGAGTGCAGATCTGCTAAGATACTTTCAAACAGCTATGTTAAGCTTTTACAAGATTGTTTAAAAGGAGAAAGTATCTTGTGAGCTCTAGTGGTGTGGAAAATAATAGGCTGACTGATTTGAGATTATAAAAAAGAATCTACTTTAAAAAAAAAAAAAAAAACACTTACAGTATTGCAACCAAGCTAAGAGGTTAACCATCTCTGAGCATATTAATGCCTGAACGTTATTTAAAGCAATATGGTCTCAAAAGCTTCCTTAGGGATCGAGAGAGGTCATTTCTGGATCTTCTTTAAACAATCTTTAAAAAGTGATTTAATTTTTATTATTTAATTTCCCACATGGTAATGTTTTAAGTTGTGCATGCTGTATTTCCCTCCTGCATAGCATAACTCATTTGGGGCAGGTTTAGTGAATACCATTAATCATTGAAAAAAAAGTATCACAATACCCTTTATGTCTCCTTTAAGTCAAAATGAGGTAAAAACAAATTTTACAGTGTAGCAAAACGTGGAAAGGTTCAATGTTAACTTTTTCATTGCATCTACAGTTTTTCTCTGGATGTAAAAATGGGTTTAACAATATATTTTAAGTAATTACGTCATTTTTTAATGATGAGTAGAAAAATATGCAGTCTCAAAACTTTCCATGTTTCCTTCTAAGTTCATGATAAATCATAGAAGAATTAGTCCTGAAGTTTGAGCTTACTTTAAAATTCATCAGATATATAAATGATTTTTATTGTTACAGATATTCTTTTGACATTTCCAAAATCTGCTGACCATAAAGTATAAGTCAATTGAATCTCTGGTAAAGAAATAGACATTAATAGCTTGGTAGATTATAGTGTCTATAAAAATGACTCAAGAGTTTAGGATGTTGCTGCTATCAGGGACCAAATTAAAGCTTAATCTGCACAACATTTACAAGTAGCACAAGGTTCCTGCAGCAACTTGAGTTTGCATTTCATACGGTATCTGAGCTCTTGTGTGCAACCAAGGCCACCAAACTCATTACAGCGTCTCGTATCATGAATGATGAGAGACAAAGGGAAGTAGACGGTAAACACACACACACAAGCACACACACACAAAAAACAAGCTCTCCTAGCTCCATTCCTATTCAAAAGCAAAGACACTTCACATGTGAAAAGACTAGGGCATGCGTAAAAAAGCAACCTGCATAGACATAAACCTGCAAACATGAGGCGTCCAGGTCGGCCAGATAAAGTCCTGGCAGGAGCACAGCAAGCGAGGGCTCAGCCCCTCCTTCCCCTCTAACTCCTCTTTCTTTGTCTTTTTCTATTTTCCCTTTCATGTCTCTATTAGCTCTGTCAATTGTTTATTAAAAGCACGAGGAGGCGATCAGAGGCGGGCATTTGAAAGCCCATGCAGAGAGATGCACTTTAAAATTCATGACGGGTTAATGGTATGTTAGCGGCAACATTAGGACCCAGTGAGCCTGCATCGTGCTCATTTACATTGATGCAGGCCGCTTCAAATGACTACTAAGCAGTCCTCGTTCTGAAAGGTAATTCATATTGTAATTAACTTTTCAATCACAGTTGATTAATTAAGACAAGCCCTGGTCTGTAATTAAGCATCTATTTTTACTTTGAATGTGAATCACTGGTTATTCAAGATTTTATCAGCTGCGGTTCCTCTTTCATGGGTTTACGAGCAGCAGACTTTACACAAACACACGTTTACACCTCATAATAATACAGTGGTGACCTACGGTTTAGTTGTTTTAGAGCATCTGCTGCTGTTTTTATTTTATTTGAGTAACAACTCCAGACCTGTTTGTGCTCTTATCCTGAGGAACAATGCATTGATAGAGGAGTGCACTTGATGCTACTATTCACAACAAAAACCCCATATTAACAAATTAGTACATCTGTGGGATAGCTTTATTTTTTCACCCCTCTGAGACGGAATCTTCTTTTATGAAAAGAAAAAAGGGACCTTAAAAGAGTCGGAAAACTAGGCTAGGTCAAATTGCATGAAGCTGCTATTGTCAAGTTTCTTTGGGTTTTTCTCTCCCTTGTTCTTTGCTCATGCAAACACACACACACAGACCCACACGCACACTCAACATCCCCTCTCCATAGCAGTGTGAGGTGAATCCGCTCATGCATCAGAATCTCCCATCAAATATTTATCACCGAGCAGCAGTGATTTTGACCGTGTACTCATGCTTTTGACAGCACTCGCCTGGTGCAGCGCTTATTGGAGTAAACACGGACAATCCAATATTGTTGTTCTCTTGTATGCTTGCGAAAAAACCCAAAAGTGCAGGAAGAATAGGGTAGGATCCTTTAATGGATCCTACCCTACCTTTCCATTAAAGATCCATTTCTATGCATTTGAAATCACACACATCATCAAGAACAGTGATTTCTTCTGGTTTTCAAAGTAAATTTTGGATTTTGTGACAGACAAAAGAAATTCTGCGTAGAGAAAGATAGAATGATACATGGTGTAGGAATTGTTTTATACAATAATAACAGTATAGGGAAAGTCTGTGATCATCAGATGTAAATCCTTGACACAGACCTTGTCTTTTGGGATATAGTTGGGTCAGAAAGTGAAACCTCTGTCCTTATTAGCCTCCATTTTTTCCCATTTCTAACTGCTGCCGTCATGGTGTTGCAGATTCATAATTTTCCTTCTTATAGACGATTCATGAAAACCCAAATTAAAAGTACCATCTTTCACTTGTTTGTTGTGTCCACTGCATGGCTTCAAATTTTAGTCACTTGGCTTTCGTTTAGCCAATCCTTTTTTGAGCCAGATTGGTGCAGAACTAATAGTTTTCCTTCCAACATACCTGTGCCATGAGCTTCTTGATTGGTTCTATGTGTACTTGACATGTAAGTTAAGGTGGATGCTCATGTCTTGCAGGTATGCCACACACACTACTCATCCCCGTGACCTGTCTGCTGTATTCATTGGTCTTTATGATGCTATTTGCTTTTATGTTCTCCAACCAGCGTTAATTACTTACGTTATTTTATATAATTATTTTAGTAACATAGGATTATACCTTATTATTATTTGAAGACTGATAACGCCATTACTGTACATTACTTGAAATCTGACGTGGCAAGTTACTTTAACCCTGTCAATCTAATGGATTTCCATCAGTGCATTCTCTCTGCTGTGGGTCGAGAGATCTCTTTGTGCAAAGACAGAGCAACAGCTGAGATACAGGCATACGATTGGCTGAGTAAAGTGGGCAGGTGTTCAGCATTTCAGCATTAATTTGCATAAATATCAAATTCTTAAACATCTTATTTGCTTTATTGTTCTTTTATTATATATGTTAAACATACTATTTAACAGAGATTAGTAAATGTTTTCAGATATGTAGTCATTTTGCTTCAATATAGATATAATTGGTCAACTAAAATGAAATATTCAGAATTCAATAACTAATCTCACAACTGTTTTGGAAGTTACAATAATAGAAAAATTACTCAAATTAATCAAGATTTTAGAAAAGTAACTTCTTAGTTACTTTGCCCAGTAACTAGATGTAGATGTAACCAAGTTACTAACTGAGTTTCTAGCTCAGTTACTTTATGGGAGAGGTAATTAGTAACTATAACTAGTTACCTTTTAAGTAATGTTCCCAAACACAGTGTCTCCAACAAACCCTAATAGACTTTCCCCAACCTGGAGATTAAGTTACACACTTGACTTGATGATATTATTTTCTCTGCATTTTATTTAGTGATACCAGTTTAATGTGGGGGGTGAGAAACAACCAATTTTAAAATTCGTATTATATTCTTTTAAAAACATACTTCGGTGCTACTTTTTGTCTGAGATATTATGTAGAAAACAAACAAATACTTAACTTAAACTACTTCTACAAGGTTGCCAGATTACTGTAAACAAACTTGTGTTTGATTAAATGAAATGTAATTTTGTATATTAAACCTTGACAATGGAGATACTGTATTTCAGAGCTCGACATAAAAAAAAAAACCTTGTCTCCATGATTCATTTCATTTGCAGAACATAATCATATCTGCATGCTGCATATTTGCTCAATCCCCGTGACATCTGCCGTTGTCTTCAACCTGCAGCTCTCTGCGAGCAGCTTGGGAAACCTCAAGTAAGTAAGTCTGTGGCATGGATCAGAAGACACATCTTCATGCTTGAACAGACACGTTTAAAATGCCACCGAAACACTGTCCCAGATTCTGCCCTCAGTCAAATGACATCAAGGGCTCACTTACAGGTCCCCGAACGCTTCGGCACGGAGCAGGAACCGGCCAGCGGGCGGCACATGGAGCAATCAAAGAGATATGCATCCCATTTCACATGAGTAAAAACTCGACCAACTGAGCAGTCTGGTGCCTTGTGTTGTCATGCTGTTTTGCTGGATTCAAGCAAGGCAGGTAACTAGGTCAGTGTAATGTAACGCTATGTAAACTGAGCCACTTTACCCCCTTGCTGGACTCAAAATGGAGTTGCCTGGCATGGGAGTGTGTGCAGGGGAGAGAAAGTCAGTGATTGAAACTGACAGTTATCAACATCCTCTGGCTAGTGAGGAGACTGAGCCATAGAGTATGCAGAGTCCTGACATACAGCAACAAGAACCATGTATGAAGATGACTCACGGCTGATATTTCTCAAACAATAGAGACCAATGAGAGATGAGCCAACCATTCCTCAGTCAACTATTTAATAACGCAAATAAAATTTTACCTTTTGCCATTTTTTATCTAAAACGCCCCAAAAAAATTATATTTTATTCTATTTTCTCAGTTTTACCGAAGGTTATCAAGTTTACGCTGCTTGCAGCCACAGGAGCTGAAGAAGTTTAACTTGTCATACCTGAGCTCAGTGAAACTGTGTCTTTCTCCCATGATACAACGGAGACGTAGGCCTCCACCGAGGCGGGGATAATGCACTTGAAGACGGCCACACTGCCTCGCATAGCCTTCTGGTCAGCCACTCTGACAGTGTAGGGTTCCCGCGAAACTAGTCAGCAAGAATAAACACAAACAATGGCATTAAAAAATTAAAAAATTAATTTTTCATATTAAACTGACAAACAAATAAAGTTTGCATTGGTTACTCCATACTTCTTCATCAGTTTGATGCATTTTCTTCTAAAAAACATATGGATCATTCTTTTTTTTTCAAAACCTTGCAATAGACAGTTGCATCCAGATCTATTTTGAGTAAAAGTCACTCATAAGTTGTTGTTTGCTCTTAAATTTAATCAAAAGTAGGAAAGCTGTTTAATAAAGGAGGAATTGTTTGTGCGTTTGGTTCTAGGAAGATTTTAACTGGCTTCAGAAAAAAAGTACCATCCATTTTTTTGTATTATTGTGTCAACATCATCAAACCAAAGCTGTGCCATTTTTAAAACGAAGTCCAGGACATTTTGAGGGATCGTGGGCAGAGCCTTGAACAGTCCCGATTTAGACATTTTTTCTTGAATTACTTAAAAGAATCAAATATTTCTAAGACCCCTAAGAATGAAAGGATGGACGGATGGATAGGGAGTTTTGTTTCTCAATAGACACAAGCAATGTTCTCCCAAACAGATCATCTAAAAAAACAGGTAAATTGAGTTTCTACTTTGGAGACTATGAAGGGAAAGCTCTAACATCATCTCAGCGATGGTATCTCAGCCACTGTCATTTATATCAACTGTGGGTGATCTGCAAAGCTCTAATCTATCAAACTGGCCAGTTTTACTATTGCCAGGTAGAGGATACAGTAAATGCACGTCGATTAAAATCAAATTAGCAAATATCAAGCGATCTTGGTCAGCATTAATCTGGTGTAACAAGTTAATTAAATTCACATTTTAAACTAAGAAAAAAAAAACTGCAGACCCTCAGAACTGTGTCTTCATTCCACTTTCTAATTTTTACCAATGTGAGATGTACTGACTTCATATCCTCAAGTTTTCTACTCTCTTTATTAACACCAGTTCATTAATCGAACCCTCATGAAAATTCGCCTTCGTCACGTCTCCTCAGCAGACTTACCAGCTTTGATGTGGACATCCTGACTCCTGATCTTGCCAGAAGGGTTCTCGGCAGTGCAGTAGTACGTGTTGTCATGGATCAGCTTGCTGAAGCTGGATGGCAGGAAGTTGAAGATTTGGAGGGTTCCATTGGTGTGGACGTGACGGATGCCCGGGACATCGTAGATCTCCTCGCCGGTAGCCAAATACCACCGCAGCGAAGCGGGCGGAGCACCCCCAGCGGGACAGGGAACCGAAGTTCCCGTTGTGCTGGCAAATACTACCTCTTGCAGAGATGCATTGACAAAGTATAGGCTGGAATGAAGATCTTCGCCGAAAACTGGAAAAAAGAAAAGACAAGATTTTAGTCTTTGAACCAGCATTTTGATATACAGTTCTAGTATGCAGTATCTTTGTTATTGCTTAGGTGTATTTATTTTCACATGAATAATATCAAAATTTTCTTCTTTGCAAAGGGAAATCCAGGAAACACCAAATCTGAAATAAGCTGCAATCTTATAAATCTCAGTGATCTATCATAAATTAAAATGAGTTTGGTAAAAAAAAATGTAATACGAAATCTGAGACTAACATAGATATTCGAAGTATGTTTATCTATATAAAAAGATAAAATTAATTTCTTAATTCTATATTTCCAGGAACATTGAATTCTAATGAACTTCTGTAAATTGTGAAATAAGGCACATTTCCATGACTGCACAGAAGTTCCCATTTAAAACTGTATCAGAGTAAAGGAAAAATGATTGTACTAAATGCAGGAATATTCTCTAGAGGAAAGGAGGGTAATAAATGTCAATGTTGGGCCAATTAGCTTCATGGAAATCTACAGCTGTTTGATTTTAGGATGTAAAAGCCAGGCCAGCAGATATGAAAGGCTGAGTTTGTTTGCATTTCAGGCAAAGCACAGTTACTGTGTGCATAACGGTTGCCATCTCAGCCTGGTGACGAGGCTCTGCACTAAACGGCTCGCAGTGGCACTGGCAGCTGGCTTGGCTCTCTGGGGAGAAGGCATTTTAGCACTTCATAAATTCCTAACAAGGTTTCAAATTGCAGACGTTTTCATCCTTTTCTCTGCTCGAGCAGCTCTGTACCAGCAATGAGACAGTCGAGTAACCTGTTTACGTAGGCATGTCCACACTAATTTTATGTGCCGTTACAGATTAGAAATGGTCTTTAATAATGATTACCATGTTCCTGATACGCCATATACCTGTGCTTCTTTTTTTATGAAAGTTGTTGACATATTTCTGCTGCAGAAATGTGGACAAAGTCTAAAACAGAAACGACATTTTAAAAAGGTGGCACACACATTGATAAATAAGGGAAATTAATCTCCATGTAATTTGAGTAATTTTAAGATTGCAAGCAGAAGTTATCATTAGTGAAGGATATTTTTACTGCCAGGTTTGCTGCAGTATGCAGTACATTAAAGGATGGAGAAAATTAACTGTAGCTAAAAATTAAAGAATAATAATGCTTGTTTTGCTCAATTTTATACATGCATGAAATTTTGGTTTGTACTTAGTTTCGTTTTGCCATAATCTTTGTTTCATTGATACTGAGAAAATTAAGCCTTCTACACTTAAGATAAATTTTAGATCATTTTAAGAGAACCTGAGAGTGACCAAATCCTTTACAACTGTACAACCGAATAAGTTTGCACATTGTTTAAAAGATAGCAGAATGAATGGAAATAATGCAAACAAAGATGTTGTTAGTAATAGGACTGATACAACAACGAAAACATCAAGCAGCCAGATTCAGCAACAGCAGCAGCACAACTTTAAATCTGTTAATGATCCAAGAGGATTCTGATTGTATTATTTCATGCCTCTAAGCATATTGATTGATTCAAAATCATAAAAAATAAGTATAAAATATTTACCCCTTTCACCACAGGCTATTTTACACAGGTATAAATAATGTACAATATTTGGAGCTAAAGTTTACATTAAATTGGAGCTTTTTAAATTGCTATGACTGAATTAAAATATACCCATATAAAGTACCTACCACAATACATCAAGAGCTCCTGTGAAAAATTTAAAACTTATACTCAAACTACCAGGATCTGTATGTTTCTGCCCATGTAAAGAGGGTATAAATACAGACGGTAATAATGACCCCAAAAAAACTAAGCCTTGTTCGTGGAAAAGTTTCCTGCAGTGGAACATGAGCCTATTAGCTAGTTGGAGGACTATCCCACATTCAGCTGCTACACTGTGGAGTCTGGCTGCACTTTTTGGCATATATAATGGAGCCTAGGCGGAAGTTCAACTGAAGAAACTCATTGTTTTCCTTCATCCACCAGCGACACAGCCAATCAGCTTTGAACCACACCTCCACGAAAGCCAATCAGCATCCAAAGTCTATCTTAAAAGGTCTCCAATACGCACCTGTCTGCTCCTGTGCACAGCAGATGCGCTGTGTGACTTCATTCAGATGACACCGTTTCAACCCACCTCCAGCCCCTCCTCCACCATCGTAGCTAAAGCTTCATCATTCCTCCCGGACTCTTACTGCGTTCCCTGTCTCATTTTAACCGTTCCGGCAGAAGACCGCTATGTTGAGCCTGGTTCTGCCAGAGGTTTCTTCCCAGCGGGGAGTTTTTCCTCTCCACTGTCGCTTCATGCTTGCTCACTATGGACAGGTTATCTCAACCCGTGATATCCAACTGGACTTCCATCTTCCAGGTCCCTTAGTGAAGCTCTGTATCAGCTCACACAATCCACTGGATCTCCCCATTAAGCTCAGCATACCATCTCGCTAACCAGCAGTCTACAGACTGACCAACTTCATCTATCTCCACTCCACCACCAATTTCAGGCCTGGGGGGGAAACAGCCCTATTATTTGCTCCTGTTCATGCATATCTATCAAAATTAAGCGCTATGTTTCCTGCTGAGGTCTAAGCGCAAAAGACAAAGTAATTGTATCAATAAATTTTCTTCTAATTTTCTTTTCTCTTCGTGTGAGTTTTTTTGATTGAAATATAAGCAAATAAGAAACATATTGGATGCGCCCATGGTCCAACACAGCGGACTCAAATAAATCTCCCATTAGCAGAGTGAGGATGTGATCCAATCATTTTATTCAGTTGTGTTAAAACAGGAAGCTGAAAAAACCCTATGAAATATTTTCAGGTCAAATTTTGCACCTGGAAAATAATCACCCTCTTCAACATGTCAGCTGTGACTCAGCCTCCAGGCCAGCCTGCTAGCTTTCTGTAACAGGGTACTCTAATGACTGAATCCATCTATTTGTTTATATATAATAATTGTGCTGAACGTGTACATTTATATATTGTGTATCTATTAATTAAATTCACATTTGTGGTTGTAGTCTTTATTGCTCTATAGTGATTTAAAGGCAATATATGCCTGCTAAGGATTCATACTCCAGGAAACATTTAATGTAATTTTCCAGTTTATATGAAAGTGTTTAAAAAAGAAAATGCAGGCATTTGGTGCATCCTTCTATATGTCCAGGGAAGTCTAATTATGACAGCTCTATTGTGTTTTATGTTGTGACTAACATTTTGGCCATTATTGTCAATGATGTGTTACAGAAAGCAAAAGAAACACACCAGTGTCATATGGTCGAAATAAATGTGTTTATTTGGACCCAGTTTGTCGTCTCCATAAAAGGTTTTTTCTTTAGTTTGAAATGTTAGTAAGAGTAGAATACTCAGAGTGGTAGGAGATAATGTATACATTCCTGTCTCCAGTCTTTTAAATCAAAAAAGCTTTTGCCAGTGTGAACAGTTTAAAATGCAGCAGGATGGAGTAAAGGGTTCTCAGCGGGTCTGTGGCACTGGCCAAGATGAAAATAATACATCAAAGTCATATTAAATTCAGATTCATTCTCTTTTTTCCCATCTGCCTCAGGGAGTATCAATCTTCTCCACGCTGCATAGATAATGCAGGAATGGTGGTGGGAGAGGTGGGAGGGTCAAAACTATACCTGGATAAGAATTGTAGCCAGGATGAGTGCGAAGGACAGCACATTCAGGCTACACTGTTTTGAAATAAATTAGTTTAACATTTTGTTTAAAACTAAAAGATGTTGCACAAGTTCTCTATAAAATGCAGTTCTGAACTTTGACTAGGCAGTTCAAAAAATTTATACTGTCATCAAAACTATCCCATTTCATAGTTCTAGCTCTTGCTTGAAGGTGAATCAAAGGCTCCGCCCTAACCCCTGCTGAATCCCTCAATCACTATATAGAGCATGGACTATTATATAGTGGACTTTATAGTGAGCTCAGTTAACTGACCGTTCAGACAGATGATCACTACTTTTCGCTCCCTGCTCTGTACCCGATAGCGGGCCGCTGTTAAACAACTCCCATGATGCTTTGCAGGGAGAGCTCTTGCAAAGCAATTTGTGACATATATCTACTTATTTAGTGACCATGGATGATCAATACGTTTCCAGGTGCATTGTCATCTGAAATGACACAACCACTATATAGTGGTTAGGGCGGATATTCGGACACAGACCCAGTCTTTTATGGCCTCCAGCAGAGCTTTTCCAGTATTACTGTACACACTTCAATCTGTCTCTGCTGGTAATTAGTCCACCAGATTATTACGAGTAGAAAAGTGCAAGCAACAATAATAAAAAAAAAACATTTAGCCCCTTTCCGTAAGTATGGATGAATAAATTTGCTAATCTAAAGGATAAACAAAACAACAGATTTACTATTTCCTAAGCTTTGTTTCTCTGTTAACATCTTTCTACATTATATACAGCATGTGACTTTGGATAAGCACCTTTTAAGGAAGCATATAGAAAATGGACCAGGATTAATGTGACAGCAGTTTCAATATGCACCTATGTCACATATGAAGTGGCTCAGTTTGGACTAACTGAGTGATAGCTTGATTGATTTAATTAAAGAAAAAAAGGAATGAACTGTGTTGGAAGGGAGAAAATCAGTGCGCTACCCAATTTCCTAATTGACTAAGCTTAGGGGATAGATGACTATGATGACGTAGGTACATGACTCCCTCCGACCTCACAGAAACAACCATGTCATGCCCCAACAAATGACCTCGGGCTCCAACCACTTACTACATTGCCTGAGAGAAAACCAGTAATTGACATCATTTTTCATGAGCTCAGCTGTAAAGGTTAAATAAATGACACTGTTCAATAATGCATCATATCCATCTATAACTGACTGGGATTTTTGTCTAAATCAGGAAATACTGAGGGAAGAAAAAAAAAAGCTGCTTCATGTAACAGTTGACTGAGAGAGGCATAGTTAACTGTTCAGTTTAAAGAATCGGTTTTATTCTACTGTTTTCTGCTGAGC